TCAAAAAGAAGGGTCAAATAGATTTAAAAATAATATAAATAATCAAATAATAGAGTGTAGAATATATATTGATATTCTTTTGGCTTAAAAAAAAACAAAATTTAAATATCTTTTAATAATGCTATATAATAATATTATAAACTATAAATGTTATAAAATAATATTATAAAATAAAGCTATATATTTTTTTTCACTTTGGCTGTTTTGCTAGTGATCCTTTATTAAGATTATTATATTATGAGTATTATATAATATTAAGTCTAATATCTAGACTTGACATTCTGCAATTACTTCGAGAGCACTTACAAGCAACTAGCCACACCAGACCAACTTTTCTATAAAAAATATTAATAACCTAAGTCAAAATAACCTAAGTTAACCTTGGAAAACTCATGTCAAACCACTATCCTACAATAAGATACTGCTAATCTGATGATATCTCTTATAGAAAAGTAAAAAAAAACAAAAAAACTACTAATCCTAATATTAATTCTAAAAAAGAGGAGAGAAAAAAGACAGAAACTAATACTAAAAAACAAATACAAAAATGAAAGACAAGTAAAAAAAAAAAGAAATCTGATAGTTATGATTATAGGCCTATATCAGATTTTAAAAAATTACATATTACAAAATAAAGAAACTCTATATCTAAAATATCATAATAATATATATAGAGGTAAAAAAAGTTAAAAAAGTTGGCTAAACTAGACACTATAGTCAACTTAGACAGAGTGGTATGATAATTGGAGGTTTATTCTATTTCTTTATTTTTTTCTTAGTACTGTATTTTCCTATTTGTATACCCAGGTCTCTTATATTTTACTAAAATTTTATCATATATTATAGACCCGGGTCTAATTTATTGGGGATCTGGTATATAGAGGATTTTTATATGAAAGATATTTACTTTAATAAATGTGACGGCTGATGCTGAATTTGGCTGATACTGATATATCAGGCCAAAATTACAGATCATATCATATGCCGATCATGTGCCGATCATATCATATATACCTTTTGCATCAGAAATTGCAGATCATTACTGAAGTATCACTACCACATTTACCAGATTTCAGAATCGGCAAAAATTCAAAACAACCAGTTTTTTTGTCAATCTTTATATACTCTAACAAAAAGTTTTCTAACCATATCGTAAGTACTAAGATTTTTTGTATCAATAGATTTATTTCGTGATTTATTGCAATAAAGTTATATAATACTAAAATGCTAAAAACATTACATCAACACACCCTAGATCTACCAAGTCTTAACACTAATTCTAACCTAACTCTAATGTCATTTTTTTTTTGTCTTTTTTTTATTTGGTTCTAGTTTTACTTTTCTTCTTTTTTTGATTCCCTTCTCTTCGATTCTTTTTTTTTGATTCTATTTTTTTTGATTCTCTTTTTTTTTGATTTCTTTTTTTTTTTGATTCTCTTTTTTTTTTTGCTTCTTCAATTTTCTTTTTTCGATTTTTTTTTCTTTTTTTGCTTCTCTTTTTTATTTTTAATTTTCTTTTCTCTCTTCAATTCTCTTTCTTTTTTGATTCTTTTTTTTTTGATTTCCTTGTCTTTTTTCGATTTTTTTTCTTGTATCGTCTTTCCTTGTTTTTTTGTTTCTCTTTTCTTTAACTCTTTCTTCTTCAGCTTCTAATCTCTTTTCGATTATCTTTCTTTTTCTTCTCT